CACTTACTTTCTATTACGTTGTATTGTCTCCTTATATATATATATATATATATACACACACACACACACACGTATTAAACGTATTCTTAGGTTCCAATATCCGCGCGACCAACAATCCAATTTATTTCGTCTACACGAATATTTCAATCATACGTTAAAAGCTAAAATAGTATTTTAAGTATAATAAAATTCTCTTTCAACATTCTTTATTCTTTCCTCGATCTTTCCTTGTTAATCCACCGCTATGAATTCCATTTTATTATACAATTTTCTTCGTTTACAATTATATATATATCTCTATGTATTCGAGGTTGGAACGCGGAACAAGTAGTCGATGGATCGTTATGATGCCAGACGGCTAGGAATTCGATTTTATCATACGATTTTTTTCGTTTACAATTATATCTTTCTCTCGAATTCGAAATTCGTGAAAGCGGGGTTGGAACAAGTCGGGACAAGTATAGTCGGTGGATCGTTACGGTCAGACGGTTGCGGTATTCAATTAGCCATTCATTGAAATTCTCTCGCGCAGCCCGCCCCGAGATTTGATGAATACGTCGATTTGTCAATAAGAACTGTTACCGACAGCTCATTCCAAGAAGGCAGGGATAAAGGTCCCGCGAATAAAGGCCGCCACCACCATCATCCCTGTCTGAATATCGATTACCATCCCTATCTCACCTCCCGGTCATCGACAAACGATATTTTCGACAGCCTTTACGATATAAAAGAGGCGAGTTTCAAAGGTGCGTTTCAGAGATTGTCTTTACCGATTATCCGACCGTGTTCCCTTTCGTAATTTTATATTACGAGCGATGAAGGGGTGAACGAACGAGAGAGAGAGAGAGAGAGAAAAAGAACGAAAGTTCGATAATAGGGTTCGAAAAAAATACTTAAAAATACTTATTACATCCTCTTGGCGAGGATGTGTTGAGGATGGATTAAAAAAAAAAGAGAGAAAGAGAAAGGGTTGGAAAAATTGGATCCATTCGAAATTCTCTCTGTCGAATGACACTCGACGATATAAAGTTAAGGAGGAAAAATTGGGAATCGTGAAATAGATATAAAATATGAAAATAACGTAGGAAGGGAATATGCAATCCATGGACGAGAAATTTTCCGTTTATACATTTGTAGAAAATACAAAGAAGTGAAAAGAAAAGTTTACAAATAGTGGGTCAGTTTCTTCAAAATGTGAACAATTAGTGGCTAATAGTATAAACTTCCAAGATCCGGTTAAATTCACCCGAAATTACTCCGATCTAATTACGAAACGTTGTTCAACCTGTAATCCCATCTAAATGCCAAATAAACAGAAATCCTTTGAATTCGAGACCGAAGCCTGTTAAAAACATGGAATTCTATTCTCTTCTCGATTGAAAATATTTTGAATTCACCGTTAAATTCGAAAAAAAAAAAAGAAGAAAGAAACAAATCACAGATCGATCGATGTTAAACCTCTAACTTATCCTTTTTAATCATCCGCTCTTCTCCTCCCTCTGCGCATGGACCATGTCCACCGAGATCTCATCCGTAAGTTACCGCAATTACAGAATGCTGTTTAATCCATTGGACCCGTGTCCAATTCAATGGTGCTCTCCGTCGAATTTATCGCCACCGATTTTCCAACCTGGACCAGAAGCAGAAAACGCTTCGATCCTTGGAAACGTTTCAAAAGGTTTTAAACGGTTTTCCTAGTTTAACCAATTAAACCGTGTAAGCCGAGAGCACGACGAGATACCGATACGACGATATACAACGCTGCCAAACTTTCGAGTTTTCACGTGTTATAGATTCGTGAGAAAGATCATCCATGAAAAAAGAATCGAAAATCTTTATTTCTTTCAAACTTTTTTTTTTTCTTTAGGGAGAAAAGTACCTTCTATACACGTAAAATTTGATAAACAAAAAACAAAATAAATAAATAATTAGCATTGAAATGAAAATGAAAATGGAAAAAATAAAAATCCTCTCCGTGCCGTTAGTTTAATTTTATCGGTGAAACTTCGTGGATCACCAAATTTCGTCCCATTTTTTGTAATTGGGCGGAAGGAAGGAAACGGAAAAGGGGAAACTCGTTCTAAGCATATTTCGAAAGAAAGTTGATCGTGCAAGGGAAGGGAAAAAGGGGAGGGAGTCTCGTTTCCCTCTACGAATTTTTCCCGCAACGAAGGAAGGAATTCCTTCAAAGAAAATTTAATTAACGACGCGCCAGGTCTTCAGACATCCTGCGACATCATCGAGGTAGCAACGGATGCAACTTTCGCATTACGAATGCAAAATTCTCAAGATTCGAACGAGTCGTTTAAACGGCGAAATTCGACGCGACGAGAAAACCAAGATTTTGATTTGAATTATTTTCAACAAGGGTTGCTGGAGTGGAGTGCTTGTGTTCGAAGTTTGGAAATATGCATTTTATCGAGCGATTGGAAGCTATTTAGAAAGATTTTCAGTTGGACCATCTTCTTATGATAATTCGCTTCGAAAATATTTAGTTGAAGTCGAGCTTTTATTTTTAAGAAGAAATTGGAACGGTGAATGCTCGATTATTTGGAAACGCGGGAAGTTATTAATTTGATATTGATAATTGATATTTACGGGACATAATTTTGACGAGTTTGAGTTTTTCTTCCATTTTTGGCTCAACATCTCGAAGCAGACGTTTCCAGGTAAATTAAATTAGACTAAATTAAATTCGTTTGTACAGTTTCGTTGGGGAAACGTACAACATCCACCTGTTTCCAAACTATATCCTCGTTCCAAAAATTTTTAGATAGATATTCGTTGAATAATTTTAAGATTAATTACAACACCTTCTTCGTGAAATTATTTGGAGGGAAAGATTCGTTTTTTGTAAATTTAACATCCTATTAGTTAAACGATCGAACGAAAATTTCTTCCCTAAGCGTTACGTCGATCTTGCATCGATAAATATATAATAAAAATCGTCGAATTCGAATTTTTGCTTACCTTGGCAACGCCGTAACCTTTGGCGCGTAACCTGAAGAGGCAGGGCACGACAACCGCCGGTGAAACGGCGGCGACCACGCTCCCAAGGAAAAAACCCCATATCCAAGGTAAATCAAGAAGATACTTGGTGAGTATGGCTATCACAAGCGCCTCGACCAGCCACGGTATCAGACCGAGTTTCGGCACAGTGATCTTCAATCTTTTCAAGGCGTTCGGGTCCAAATCCAAACCGGCTCTCGTGAGGATAATGACTAGAGCGATTTTCCTGTAACACCAATATTTTTTTATCACTTATTCTACGCAGAATAAAACAGAAATATAACATCGATAATTTATTCCTTATTGCGTTATGATATTTATACATTTCTCTCGGGACGTTTAAGATTTTCGATTCCGTTTGAAAAATTCATACATCGTGAGAGTAATCGTTAGAGTTCCAAGATTGTACGATAAAAGAATTTCTTTTGATCTGAATCCGAGAAACAGAGAGATTAGAGACGTGGCGCTACATCAATCAAATCGATGAAATTCTTTCCAAAGGTTAATTGAAATCGACCTTACTAATTAAAATTATTATACACAATATATCCAACGATTGCACAATTAAACACAATCGATTAAATTTAATTGCAAAGTAATTTAATGCAACGTAAAACGAAACCGTTCCGTGATTAACTTCGCCCAATTTCCTATAAAAATTCTATTTCTAAACTTTTTAAATCCGAACCGCTGTTAATTTATATAATTAAACGATCTACAAAATCTTCAATCCACAACCTCAACTTTTATGCAAATAATACATCTTCTATCGTGGTAACCTTGAAACCTCGATTATCAACGTAAACTTCCACTTGAAACACGTATCCCGATCACATCGTCGCGGTGACGACTTCCATCAACCGTGGTGTAAATTCGACGCGTTTTCCTGCTCGAGGATCGCCTTCCTTCGAAAGAAGGAATGCCATCTCCCTCCCTTGCATTCGAAAACTCGTAATAGGATAAGTTTTGGAACCGGTCCGGCAAAGTTTCGAGTCGTCTTCGACCATCGAGAATTCATCGGGGCTTTCGTCGACGGGGTTTCCACGGGATTTTCTGCGAATCGAGCAACCTCCACGATTTGTCGATACGCCAACCTCGAAACTGGAGAAAATAGGGGAGGGGAGGTTGTTTTATGGATTATGATTAGGCGACGTACGAGCATCGTTGGATAAATTTGGATATTTGGATAGGGGGTTCTCGATGGTAGTCGGTTTTTGAGGTAATTTTGATCAGTTCGAATTTTGTTTCGAGAAACAAATTAACGTTTATCGATCGTTGTTCTCGTAAATTTGACGGTGTTCCCGAGCGTGAAGTTTCCCTTCGTTAATGGAGGAAAATTACACGGAGAGATATTTTTATTAAGGCTTTAGGAAAAAATGTAAGAAGGTGAATTCCTCGAATAATTCCTACTGTATGGAACGTGTTTAACAGAGAGGAAGAGTAATTGATATTTGCTTCGGAGGAGGATTACTCGATGAAACGTTGAAAATTGTGTCGTTGCTCGTTAATACCCGGCTCAAAGTTAACGCTGTCGAAGAATTCATTGAATCCGAAGATTGCGTCTTTTTTTTCTGCGCGTGGAACAAATATTGAAAAAAATTTGCTTGGAAATTCTGTAGAAAGCTAGGTTAAATGATATTGTACAAACGTTAATTGTACGATAATTATGATTAAATAGGGTACCGGACGAAACATCTTCGTTTCTCAGTTGTTTCTTCGTTGAAAAAAGAGAAAAGAAAAGAAAAATCTAATGCGTAAATTAAAAACTTATAGGAAGCTTGTTGTAGAAAGCTTAATCAATTCATCGCCTGTTTTGCAATTTGAAGAATGTCTACACGCTATCTAATATGACCCCTTTTTCATTATGTCCAGTAATGTTTCGTATTACTCGCAGAGATACGTTAATAACAATTAAAAACACGAAGTGAAATTAAATGAGAGAGAAGAGAAAAAGAAAGAAAAAATAATTTCCAATGTTTCTTAATTATTTTATTCATATTTAAAATTTTCCAATCGCTTGCACACTTGAATTTTAAACAAGCAAATGAAACGATCGATTCAATCAATTGCAACAACAACGGGATCGAATCGAAATTCCTTCCATTATTTCGAGCGCTGGTGGAAAAATACGTCTATCGCCTATCCACGAAACTCGATAAAGGGACAAATGGGAGGGTATGGTATGGCTTTTAACCTTTAATTCGAGTTTTCGCCTCGAAGAAAGCGCTAATGACCCCCTCTCCAATATTTTCCAATCGCGGAGGAAAAGTTTTCGTCTCGATCGGATCCAATTGAAATTCAACGAGGTTCTCCCCTCCCTTCCCCCCTCTCTTTTCCTCCTCCTTACAAGCTAGCGAGAATTTTTGAAAGAAAATTCGGGATCCATTCCCGACTAACTCTCCTCTCCTAACCCCCTGATTGAAGAATAATATCGTTTTCAAAGAACGAACGAAGGAAGGAAGTTCGAGAGGAAGGAATGGCGAACCACAACGTTTGAAAATCTTTTTCTACTCACTTTCTACGTTCACTCGTCACAATTTCAACGCGAAATTTTCTTCGACGAGTGTACACGACGAGTGTTTTAACGTTTCAATGGCAAAAGAAATAAAAATAGAAATAGAAACTGTTTGCTCGACGCACCCGCGGATGTTGACGATTGACGTATCGAACAGTTTCCCAGGTTGTTGCACTCGTGGAATAATAGGTTTAGCTTTTTGCTTGCGTAACGTTACTGCGTTTGTGGAGAGAAGAAAAAAAAAAAAAAAAAAAAAAAAAAAGAATACCCGTCCTCTTTCCAAAGTTACGAATAAATTCTTCAAATGTGTTTCCACCTCGTTAACCGGGTTCGTGTTCCTTCTCGTTTAAGAAGGAATTCTCTCCTCGAGCATCGATGTATCGATAACGACCAAAGTAAACGCTTGGGATAAAAAAACAATCTTGCACAGTTATACAGATTTTGTATTCACGCGTTATTAATAGCGTAGAAATATAAATACGATAGAATTATTCTATATAATACCAATAATCGACGCTAAGAATTCCTCGAAGAATTCCACTTTTCACTATAAAAGTTAAATCTTTTTGATCGTCGTTTTTCTTATCGAAAAAAAAATCGAATCCACGCAGATTCGTCTTTAATCCCGATATATCCGTTGTAGAGGTTCCATTTCCATCCGTTTAATAATTCATCAAAACGTATTTTGGACATCAAGATGATTTTCTTGCGTATAAAAATCATTTTAATTTTTGAAAAAAAAAACAGTATTTATCGACTGTTGAATAATAACTCGTAGGCGAAAAAAATATTTACTCTGTTCAGTCACATGGAAAGATATATATTTATTTATTACACACTTTGACAGAGTGCAAGTCATTCGCGATGCGAAGGTGATGCAACCATTGTCTTGTGATTTCTTTTATCGTTTCATCGATAAATAAACGTCGATTATCTACGTTCTTAAATATTTTCTGAAATCGTTTCGATGATTTTCGATTTCGTTCGATAGACACGACACGGCCGATTGTTTTGATCCGGCAGATTGAAAGCAATGATCGAGTAGTCGATCACATGAATGTAACGATAGATAAGATTTAGCCGATATTAGCCAATTATCCCTGATAAGTTAAATCAAATTTAATCCGAACGACAGAATCGAGAGACGAGAAAATAATGAATTGCGCGAATGATTTTCTATTCTCTATATATTTGTATATTACAAATAAAGGAACAACGAAAAATCGGTATATTTGATCGTAGATCCTTCTCTTAGATGATTAATCCTCATCCCTTTCGAGAATTTCGAGAAAGAATACGAACAATTCGTTTCGATTTTCGATATCTCGAGTGGATGGAAATTTTTCGAATAATCGATGCCAGGTCAGTTTATCTTAAACTTTTCGCTCGTTACGAACGAGAGGGAGGAAAAATTTACACCAGGTTAGATTTATTATTCGTGTCGAAATGTTGGAATATTAAATTGATTTAATGGAATTTAATGGAGTATAGGTGAATCTTTGGTGATCGAAAAGAAATATTCACGTACACGTGATTTCGCGTGTTTATTAACGTCGATGTTGGATTAATAAAACATACAATGTAATGTAAATCAATTACGACGCGAAGATCAATATTTCATTTCGCCGCGAGAAATAGAAAGTATCCATTATCGAAACGAATTATATGATTCGTTGATAATAAAACTTTCTTTTTTAATCCTCGATGAAGAAACAAGAAAAAAAAGCGGAGAGGAAAATTCGTAGATTAGTCGTTAGATCGACTGGAGGGGGAGGGAGCGAGGAGTTCGAAGAAAATATGATTTTTCCACGGGATATCAGTAATTCCTTTCATCGGAAGGTTAAAGTTTATCCGCAAACAAAGTTACTGTAATTCGGAAAACGAAATCCGGGGAGCGGAAATTTATGGGTAGAGAGGAGGGAGACATGGTTGAAAATGAAATAGCACGGATTCGAGCGGAAATGAGCGAGGAACAGAAATGGATTACCGAAGAACTCGCTCATCTATTCGCCCTCCTCTTTATTCGAATAAACTTTCAAATTTTCTCCAAACCTTCCACTTTTGTTTTCCCGCATATCGTCGAACAGGTTTCAACGTTTCCTTTACCTTCGATACCTCGAGACAATTCCTTCGAGAATTCTTCGGAGAAAAAATTTTTTTCGAAAAATTCAAAATTCTAATTTCAAAGTTAAAATTCCTCTCGTTTTATACGCCTACCTCGTTTCTCTTCGTCGCGCTTTTCGAACGATTAAAACGATTAAACACACACACAAAAAAAAAAGGTTGCAAACATTTTATCGAAACGAAAAGAGAAGGAGGACGAAAGGGAGAACCTTGTTCCGCTCTTTTTATCTCGAGCGTAATAAATCATATATCGCAAAGTTTCGATAAAACGGCCGGTAGTAGTTTTGTTTTAACGCGCATTCAAAATTATTTCACACTTTTCCCTCATCCTCTTCACTCTCCACGATCATGAACAATTAACGAATCAACTTCCTGAGTTATTTATATCTCGCGGAAATACGAATGATTTCATAATTCATACGCAGGATTACCGAACACCTACCTCGATGAAAAATCTCCACGGATATAAATAAACCGATACGACACATCCCCCGTTAAAATCATCATTAAATCAAAGTCGATTCATCAATTCGGATAATAAATATTTCGAAAATCTATCGTGTAACGCCGAGAGATTCTTCGATCTT